AAATGCAATTTATGTTCCCTTTGAGAGAACTTCTAAGTATTTTTGGAAAGTTAAATTTAAAAAAAAATCACTAACCCTTTAGGCATTTGCGACTTTTATTTTGAAAATGCGAGCCGCGCGTCGCAGTGTTTAAACGTCACACGGTGGCGCGCTGCGTGGGTCCACCTTGTTGATAGTTTGTGGAAGTGGACTGCTCCTTCTAAAATGTGGCCTTTCTCCTGAGTCTCTGGTGTCTTTGAGTTCACGAAAAAGCAACACAAAGCATTAAAATGTGGATACTGACGCCGCTGCAGCCTGGAGGTAACTTTCTCTGTCGCTGTTGACACTTTAACACGTTAGCTGTGTTACTGAGTGCAGAGGGGTTCAGCTAACCTTAGGTTGAGAACCACTAACGCTACAGACAGGAAATGAGCTGCTTGGTCTTAGACTGAGTATAACGTGGAGGGTGAGATTAGATGTTTGTGGGTGGAAGCTGCATGAATGTGAGGAACTTTGGTCATGTGATAAGAAGTTAGTGTAACACAGATTTCATTAATACATGTGCAGTTTAATGTTGCCTGAACATGGCATTGGATGGTGGAGTAATGTACAGTCAGTTACTTTTACATCTAGCACTTGAACATTTATGAAAGAGACTCTGAAACATGCAGTGGAGGACATATTACAACAGGTATCAAATCTGTCATAATCAGTGATTTAGTGTTTGGTACGAACTAGGGCTGCACAATTAATCAAGATAGTATTAACATTTCCTGATGGCCAAGTGCAATGTCCAAGTTGCAGAAGCTGGTAAAATGTGTAACAAAACAGCATTGTAATGAAGTACTGTAGTGCTGCAGAGACGTCCTGGCCTGCAAATCTTCAAGAGTTTGTCACATAATCATGATTTTAATTAAACTTGTGATGCAAAAATGATAATTCCCTTCTTTTTTTTTTTTACCATATCATGCACCCTTAGTATCAACCTGCAGAATTACATTTAGGATTCAGACAGAAATTAATCTGCAACTTTTATGATAACTTACGGACATAAGGTAATTTTGTAAAAGCTGGTTCCAGCTTCTCCAATGTGAGGATCTGATGATTTTTCTTGTCTCCTAGAATTGTAACAGTTGAAGACCGACAAATGGTGATATGTATGTATTTTACAGAAGAAAATAACGATGAAAAAGATGAACCTGTTAATTGCAAAACTAATTATGCAAACTGATTGTTTTAGAAAATAATTGTCAGTTGCAACCTACTGATGTTAGAATCTGACATTTTACTATTATCTTGTATAATAAATCCTTAACCATTAGTAATTCTTGGTGTTCTTCTCATTCCCCAAAAGATGATACACAGATTGGATCATATTTTGCTCTACTACAAGTTAATGTCTCCAACCCCTAGTTTAGAATAAATGTTATATGAACCAATTAAATGTTCGGGTCAGAAGATTGTCACATCATTGATACTAAGCACTGAGTCAATACATTGTCATATATATTCAGTCAATATCGGCCAACTTTAGTGCACAGTGAAAGAGGATTAACACACATAAAGTCACATGCACTTAACTTAAGATTCTTTTTCAACTTCACGTGGGTAGATACGTTTATAAAACGGCATTTAGGTTGTCTGTTTGTGATTTTACATCAGAAGGTTCATAACTTGCCTCCTGTCACTCACAGGTGAGACCCACTATCTCCTCTCCAGTAAAGAGTACGTGGTGGGGCGCAAGAACTGTGACATCCTCCTGCCCAACGACCAGTCCATCAGCAGGGCTCATGCTCACCTCACTGCTGCCGACCAGGTGAGAGGAAGAAGGGAAATGAGGGGAAGAATTATCATACAGTAATCATTATTAAATGGACTGAATGTGTTGAACAGAATTGGCTTAAAAAACTCACTGAGCCCATCATATGTACAGTGTCTTCAGTGTTATCCCAAAGATATTGGACAGTTGGATCAATATATATAAAAACATACAAGAAACTGCATGTCACTGACACTGGAATTTAAAAGACAGTACATTAATATTAAAATGAAAACTCATTCAGCTTGACGAGAAAAGAAAGAGCTGTGAAAGTGTTTGCACAAAGGTTCACAAGCTTTTTCAAATAAAGGTGTTCTGTTTACCATCATTAACAAAGGATGTCTGTTAATAATTAATTTCTCCATAGTTGGTAATATGTTTCAAACACTCGTCATTAAATCAAAAACACACTGTGGAAGCTGTGTATTCAGAAGGGACACAGTTAATGTTTTGTGGCAGGGGCAGTCAGTATTCACCTGGCAAAGGCAGAAAAGTTAGTTAAACTTTCCACTCTGTATTAAGTATGGTTCGTGATGCAGTAGGTAACTTTTCTAAAAATGTCTGAGATAGTTGCACAAGGAGGAGCCAGGGTACCATGATTTTCACAGATTGTCTCTCTGACATACTACTGTCAGGATACAATGAAAGTTTCAGCAAATATGACAAAACATTATGTTTTATAAAAGTTACCGACTATAAGGTCTGTGTGGAAAAGCACCTGACTAAAGACAGACAAAGCTAACAAACCTTACAGCACCAACAAAACTACAAAGCACTCACTCAACAAGCCGACCATCCATCATCATTATTCTATATTCTGTGTTAAAACAAACCTTTACTTCAACTTAGAAGTCATTTAAAATGATCACGTCCTGCTTTTTGATAGGATCACATCCTTATGATGAAAAGATTTTAAATTAGAATTAGAAAATCCTTAATGCTTAAAATATGTTATCACTTTGTATTACCATACAGGTCTGTGTGATTAGTTTCCACAGTTACAGTGCGTACTGTTTGTATAGCATTAGTTTTAGTTTGTATCATATTTTTGTAAATTTTGCAGGATTTTCAAGATATTAATTTGATCATATCACCCAACATTTCTAATAATGTAGATGAAGTTATGTGATTTAATTTGGAGAATATTTACTTGTGTGATAGCACTTCTGCACAAAAGGTGGTGCTATTGCACCTGTCCAACGTAACTAAAACTGAATCTAAATCCTGGTCAGGCCCAAACGTAATACAACCAAGTTATATAAAAAGGACTTCTCAGAGATCTGATTTGATTTATCCAGTAGTTATTTAAACCTGTTATTTACTGTGTCATGCACATCTAAGTATTCAGCCCACTTGTAATAATGTAGAGATAAAGAAATAAAGGACATTTTACTAATTGTCATATAATGAGGAATAAAACATTACAAACCATGCAACTTTTGTTGAGCATTAACACGAGCAAAATAATGTTATTAATGCTGTGCGATGAACTGGTATACTGGTTTAAATTTTCTGTATGATATGAATGTTTTGCTTTTGATTTTTAGTTCTGGCTGTCACCTGTTTAGCATGTAGACAATATAATGTGTGTAGACCTGTAATCTCAATTTGTTCTTACATTAATTGATTTCCTGAGTTTAGGATACATTTCCTTCCTTGGTTTAATTGAGAAGATGGGTTTTTTCATTGAGACATGAATAATTGAAAAGAAATAAGTAGGATGGTTTGTTTGACTCATGGACAGCTTCATGACTTGCTCTTATGAATTTTATTCCTAGACTCTGACTCTGAAAGACACCTCCAAGTATGGTACATTTGTCAATAACCAGCGCTTGACAGAGAACTCACCCATGAACCTGAAGTCAGGTGACAACGTTACATTTGGGGTTTTTGACAGCAAATTCAGGTAAGTAACTGAAACAAGACCTGATTAGTTATGTTTAATATCACAGTTAATATGAATTTCATTCTTCCTAAACCTGTTACATTATGAATCTCCTTCATTGTCCCTGCTTCATCTCAGTGTGGACCATCAGAAGCCAGTGGTGTGTTCGTCATGTTTGGACAACGATGGCAAGACATTGCTTTCTCAGGCTCTGCTGTCTGTTGGTGGAAAGCTGGTCAACACCTGGACTAAGGAGTGCACTCACCTGGTGATGCCCTCTGCTAAAGTCACCATCAAGGTCAGCACCAGACTTTGTACCCTCATTTGCACATGTGTTGTGTTTGCCCCTGAATATGTGTTGATGTGCCTCCTGTTTTCCTAATTAGACTATTTGTGCTCTGCTGTGCTGCCGTCCCGTCGTGAAGCCAGAGTTCTTCTCAGAGCTCAGCGAAGCCGCTCAGCGAAAATCACCCCCTCCCAAAGCTGAGAGGTACAACACAATCCATCCTTATGTACACGCATTCACCCTGAGGATGAGCTGAACATCACTGAACCAAACATTATCTCATCTGTGCTGCTCACTGTTTTTTTAGTTTCATCCCTGAAATCGATGAGCCCAGCTTGAGTAAAGAGGATGTTAACCTTGGAGCAATTCCAGGTCGCAAACAGCTTTTCACTGGAAAGACTTTCATTTTCCTCAATGCCAAACAGGTATGTCTGCTTCTTTATTTGTGATACCCTAATATTGTTTTCATGCTCTGCAAAACACCAGGTAACTAGTCGGACCTAATAATCAGCTGATCAGTTATCATCGCTCTGTAGTAATCATCGTCAATGATAACAAAACACGAGAGTTAAAGAAATGAGCACTTGTTATCAGCTATATAATAGCACTTCTTGTTTTTCAGTCAGTAGCTTAAAAAAATGATAGGAGGTCACATGATCTTTTGAGCTTCATGTTTATCAGCTGTTGCCAGGCAGTCGGAGCCTGGGAATCCTTTGGGAGACTCACTGCTCACTGCCTGTGTTTTACTCGAGCTGCAACTAATGATAATTTTCACCAGACATTAGATTTCTAATCATTTAGTTTGTAAAATGTAGAATTGAATGTGCTTCATTAGTTCCAAATGTGTCTACCTTACATTTTCTTTTTTACAATTAACAGAGCCCAAAGTTTTATTGTAATATTTTTACATAATGTCAACAGCAAGCAAAAAAGTATCAATTTAATATGAAGGAGATGTTTGCTCTTTTTAAAACTGTAATCAACAAATCTGTGATAAGTTTTAATATTAAGTAACTGATTCATTAATTGACTAATAAATTCAGCATTTTACTGTGTGTTTACTTCATGCTTGCTGCTGTAGAAACAATTTAATTATACATGGATCTGCAGAGAACATGTGCAGGTTATGAAACCTCATCAGGGGACAGAAAACTCATCTGTACCGCCCTGCTTGGCCTTATTGACACAACAGTATCAAGTAAGGTCTGTTGTCTTATGGATGTTTTTAAACATCCCTTATGTAAGATGACATTTGTCCATATTGACATTACCAACTTAAAGTGGATATTTTCTGGTACGTATTTTGACAAAAAAGCCCTAAAATAAAGTAATACCCTTTAGAGAGAAGCCTTTAAGAAGCCAGCTGAAATGTAAATTGTAGTTGATTATTATCATTTTATGAACAAGTGTACAACAGCAATACATAATATCCCCTGCTTTTACAGTATCTAAAATATTTATGCATCACTCCACTCCTTCAATTAGGCTGCCATTGGGCCTTCAGCTTCAACTGGCTATACAGATCATGGTTGTGTAATTGCTGCGCCTCTATGTTTGTTTGCAGCTAAAGCGCCTGAGTGCAGCAGTGAGTTTTGGAGGTGGCAGGAGTCAGCTGCTGGAGGAGGGCTCTCTGCCTCGGGACCTGCTGGAGTCTCTACAGAGCTGTGTGGTAGATGCTACAACAGGCAGCTCCCAAACTTTGCTCTCTTCCTCCACTGTAGAGTGGGCAAACTCTGTGAAGAACATTGTTCAAAGGTTTACACAAAACTTTTTCTGTAGAAAAGCACTGTGTTAAGGCGACAACTTTTGAACACTTTAAAATGTTCTCTCTGGCATTTCTCCTTTACAGAAAAGGCCTCAGAGTCATCACAGAGTCTGAAATTGGTTTGGCTGCTATCTATGCTTCATGTGACCAGTACTGCAATCCATCTAGTTTAATACCAACCTCAGGTGGGTGACCACACAGAGAAACACTGATTGCTTGCTTTTTTTGTTTATTTTTCATGCTTTTACTTCTATATAATCTTTCTCTTTCTCTTGTATTTTTCTTACTTTTCTTTCTTTTTATCCGTGTTTACGGTTTAGAGTCTGAACCAAAAGTGAATCCCAGAATTCCAAGTGCTTCGCTGTCAGAGAGCGTGGCGGTGGACGAGACTGTGTTACCTGCTGCATCTCAGAACATCACAGCATATGCAGTTAACACAGAGCCATCACAAGGGTAACGACACGCACTCAAAGACACGCGTCCATTATGTGTTAAAGTTGTCCAAACTCTAGAAAACATGTCTGATGTTTGTTCGTTTATCAGGACAGAGTTGAGCGAAGTTACAGGGGTGACGGCAGTGGGGGAGACTCCTGAGAAGAAGCAAACCAGTCAGCTCCGTGGATCCAAACCTGAAGCTCAGAAAACGGCCACTCAGTGCTTCGTGGCTGATACAATGAGGTCATCATTCAACACTGTAGAGAACACAGACTCACAGAGGAGGAAGCCCGAGTCCAAAATGACAGGTAGCTGCATGAATGAATAAGGGATCTGTGTTTTTCTCCTGATACAACCAGTGCTGTTCTGTATAACATAACATAGAGCTTTGCTGTACCTACACATAATTTCTTCTTAATTGTAATTATCCATAATTAGATCACTTTGTAACGATGAACAACTGGCCGGAGTTTCTAGAGCTCCTCCTTTATTATTCAACCATACTTTTTGGCTTTAGTCTTTTTTAAGTAAATAGTTCCAGAGGGTTTGCTAGGTTGTGTCTGTAATGTGGGTCTGTCCCATACCAGTCCTTTAAATTTGGTATTAGTGCCCATACCAATCTGTTGTATTATGTATTGGTGCATTGGCTTTAACATGGTGTAGTGGTTACTGCAGTGAAGCATGCAGCTTGTTATAGTTTGACAGTGTGGTAAATATGCTTTTGTTACCTTTGGACAGAGCCAGTATATCAGTTTGCCCCTGTTTCCAGTCTTTACGCTAAGCTACGCTAACCCACTGCAGGCATAGAGGACAGTTACGAAAGTGGTATCAATCTTCTCATCTACCTCTCTGTAATTAAGAGCACTTCTCAAAATGTCAAACTATCCCTTGAATTCACTAATGATAGGAGCATCAGCTCACTGTCTGTAGTAACAAATCAGGCCATCAATGTTTTTGTGGTTTCAGGTGCAGGCAGTAGTGGCATTTGGCCCCAGCCGTCCATTCCTAGGACCAATGGTGGCACAAAGACATTCCTGCAGAACCAGTCTCCTCAGAAACCAAAAAACTCTCCGCAGGCTTCCCCACAGAAACAATCAACTCTGACCAGTTTCTTTAAACCAGCCAGCAGAAAAAGGTAATCGTTTGCTCTTTGTGCGGGTTAAAGGACCATATCAGTGTTTATGTGGGTTGGTAGTCATGCAGTGCTGTACAACTGATCTACACAAACACAATGTGACAATTTAAGCTCCCTGGGACGAGAGCTGAACAGGGTGATGGATGGATGGGCGGATCATTTTCACTCATCATCTAACATTTAACTTTCAAGTCTCTCAAATTTGATGTACAATATCGTTTTTGTTATCTACAGAATAAGATGAAAATGTTAAGAGTACTCCACTGATTTAGCATTGTAACACAGTCAGGCTCATAATGGACACTTAAAACAAGATCAGATAACATCCTTTTTTTCTCTCCACACATTCTTCTTCCTTGTCAAAACCCAGCGCCTACATTACCAACAATCCAACGTGCCTGCAGACAGTTCAGTCAAAGACATGTGTGTGTTATGCTATTAGCAGCTAATGTAGCTTCTAGCAGAGGTGTGGAGCCTACAGAGGTCTCTTCACACCCCTGGATTTTTTTCATTTTCAAACTTGTAGTCTTAAGGTCCAACCAACGCTCAATCAGGGCTTGTTTTGTTTTTTGTAACTTTTTGTTTAATTATTTAAATTTTTTTACAAAACATTCCTTGACATAAGATATGACCTCCTAACAAAACAAAATTAGAAAAGGAAAATAAATAAATAAGAGGCAGATACAAAAGGAGGCATTTGCAACAGAGCAGAATCAGTTACAGAGGATTATAACAATGGCATTTTTTCACTGTAATACAACAACCAATCTCACTTGGTTAAATGCCCAGGTACAGTGCAACACAAGTCCACCTTTGAATAAAAGTCTCCATTTTCAGTTGAAGACTTGTAGTCATGTAGTCCATTATGTAAACCCTTTTCACTCTCTGCACCCACTGAGTGATAGTTGGTGGTTTTGCATCCTCCAGCTCAGTTAGAATTTTCTTGGCAATGAATAAAAGTATCTGCAGTATCTGATGGAACATTCTCTTTACACATAATGTTGTCAATTTCTTTTTTAACACTTCTCCAGAACCCCTGAATTATTGGGAATCCCAAAACATATGTGACATCAGGCTTCAGACAACTTTTTTCACATATACAGTAGTCCTCCCCAGGACCTGTAAATAGACTTTGATGTGTAAAATGTTTTGAGTTTTCTTCAACATGCTGGCACTGGCTGAAAGTCTGTTCTTACCTGTTTCTGTGTTTCATCCTGTCATCAAGGCCTTTGGAGGACGAGCTCTTCGCTGTTATGTCAGAACCGAAACGGCCTGTACTGGAATCTCCTGTCAGCATACAGGCACCAAAAACCTCAGTCACATCTAAAGAAACATTCTTACATTCAGACGCTGTCCCTGCAGCAACATCCCAGACTCCACTGGGGTCAGCAGCTGATCTTTTCGTAGGACGGTCAGAGGCTCAGTCAGACAGGGTCTCCCACGCTGTCCAGGAGGAGCCACGAAGTAGAAAGAGGAAGGAGATGGAAGCAGAGATACAGATGGATGAACTGGAGTCTATTATGTCTGAGGATATGGACTTTGATGAGCAACCCTCATATAATCAAGGCCAGCAAGAACAGCTACTGAAGCCCAGTTCAGCTGAAAAGAACCAGGGTGTAAATACTGTGGAGGCTTTATCTTCAAGTAAGAGGCAACGGGTCAACCTGGAAGAAAATGGAAAAGGGCCACAGGTGGGCCTGGAAAGAGATTCAGGTTCCCATAAGAGCCAAAAATCTGAACAGCATATCGTCTCTATCAAGACAGAGCAGGTCGATCCTTTTGAATACGGGACTTATCTTGAGTCCAGCAAACCTCCAAAAGCCCCATCTGCCAGTACGAGTACAAACATCGAGCCTTTTGAAGAGGACGAGGCATCCTTTGTTGAGGTGAGGACTTATTGTCAGTTGTCAGTGTTCATCCAGTAATTTAGAGAATAGAAAGTATAACTTGAACTGTCTCAGCAAACAGAATGGCTTCACTTCTCCGTTTTATAGTAAATTTTGTTTCACACATTTTTCACCCTTTTTATTCCTGTAGGATTTAGAGCTGCTCAACGTAGATATTTGTCAGCCTAAAGAAGAGCCAAAGACCCCCTTGAAACCTGTTACAGTCAAACAGGAAGTCCAAGTAAGTCCTGTGAAAAGGCTCTTAATGTGAAGTTTTGTCTCTTTTCTCTCTTTGAATTAGCTCCGATTTGTGTCTCTACCTATATGCTTTGTTTTTCTAGATTTATTTATTTGCTGGGTCAAAATATAATTTAGCATGAATACTGGACTTCTGTGTATTAATAATTGATTTCTGTAAATTGACCCATTTTTTCATTCAAGAGATCCTTATTAATACTTAGTATTAGATTATCACATTGTATTACTCAGGATTCACAGATGATACTGTACAACTGCCTCAAACACCATGTAATAGTTGTTTAAACCACTTTAATTGTGTTTCCTTTGATATTCTACAATGTTAATCTAGGAGGAGTCAAAGACTGATGAAGACCTTCCTAAAAAGGTGGTATTAGTGGAGTTTCGATCTCTCACAGTGTCTGCCCCTCCCAAAACCAAACCACAGAAGATGCAGGATATCAGCTACGCAAAGAACTACAAAAGTTTCCGCAAGGTCAGACTACAATGCAACTTACACAACAGAACCGCAGTTAAACGCAGTTAAACGCAGTTAAATGCAGAAACAGTACTTAAATCAGTGATAGAAGCTTGCAACACATTCTGCAGTGTTTTATTCAGTTTCTTGTGGTCTGAATATTTTGTCCTTTACTAATTATAAACACAGCTTTAAAGCTTCCATTTTAAATGACAACAATGAGGAAAGAAAAAAATCCAATTTTAGGATGATTAAAATTAAAAAGCCTAGAATTGGATTTTTTATGCCACCCATCAACGGTAGATGAGGGCATATTTTATTCATTTTTAAAATGACCTCTTTTCCACTCAAAGCACAGAAGTGATTGATTATTTTTCAACTTTCAATGTCATCACAAAGCTCAAAAGGAAATAGATTTTGACTTTTTTTATTCATATAAATTTGCTTGTGTGTCTGTGACAGATTGGCGTGCCAGGTGCAGAGCGCTCACCCAACATCATTGGAGGGTCTGCTCTGCTGGTTCACAACAGAGGCAAGAACTGTGATCTGGATGAATGGCTGAAAGATGCAGCTGAGGTACTATTGTCTGTCTCTCTTATCTGTTATTTATATATATATCTTATCTGACTGAGCCTTGCATACTTGATTTAAACCTGTGTTTGTTTCAGGAGGAGCGTCAGAACAGACAGGAAGAGACCGTAGGAGATGACCTCTTTAGGTGAGAAACTGGAACTCATTTTCTGTAAGACGTGTAGTGACCTTGTTACCCCCTTCACAGCTTCCTCAAAGCCCTTATAAGGTCTCTAGTATGTGCGTAGGTCTTACTGCTGCTTAAGCTACTGTCTCATTTGTTACCTGTATCCTAAAAAAGGCAGAACCCTTAGTATGACTTTTTTATACAGTATAGGTGAGAGTAATTCTGAAGTTTAAAAAAAATAAAAATTTAGAAATTAAATTAAAGTCCTGTTTTCACCTCCTACACCAACAATACAATATTCTGTAGCCAGTGAATAATAATTTTCTATTCAATTTAATATCTGAATCGAATTACAAGAGTTAAATATATAAATATAAACATAAGTTAAGTTAAATATAGTCAATAAATAGCCTAAATTGTGCACTTAGGTCATAACTTGTGTGTGCTATTCGTCTATGAATTCTGATTTCTGTTGTGTAATATAAAACGAAACAATACTGTGGATTAAACTGAGAAACTATCTACAAATAATGTTCATGTACATGCTGTTATTTTAGTAGTAACAGTATTGTGTTTAAAGTTTGGCCAGACAGATATAAATGTTTCCTCTTTTAACTGTTGTGTTCATATTCAAGTTAAAATAGCTTTAACTCACATTGAAATTTGAGCAAACAAAACCCATAATTTACAGTGTCTCTTGTACTAACCTCGCTAAGTCCTTCACTCAGTATAATTGCTAGTCAAGGTGGAATAAGGATCTGTCTGTACCATTATAATCAGGTGCAGACAACATTATTAACTGAGAATTATAGATACGGGGCCACTGTAGATTCAGTTTAACCAATCAGAACATAGTAATTCTTTCGTCACAGTGGTTGCCGGGGTAACAGAAGTGATGTAAGCTGCCGCCGCTGCCGTGTTTTCTTTGACTAAGCAGAAAAGAGACAGTCTGAAATTGATTTTGTGTGTGTGTGTGTGTGTGTGTCAAGGCTGAGCTGTTTGATCACGGAGTCATGCTCAGTCAGTCATGCGTAGCCAGAGAACAGACTCTGCTGCTAAGAAAACAATCTGGTATTTTTTTGGTAGGTCTAAACGAAGTTTCCAGACGTGGTTTATAGGAAGCCTGTTTGCTTTAAGCTGTTCAAACACTGTCCGTCTTTTACAGCGCTTAATTTGGGCTGTTTTTATTGTTTGTTCAAAATGCCTCTAAGGACATTGAGGAATGATCCATGAGGAATGTTAAAAGCCCATCCTGACACGGACAGACCTGTGAGATAAAATCTTTTGTGTGTCTGTCTGTCTGTCTGTGTGTGTCTTTAGGTACAACCCCACCAAACTAATCAAGAGAAGATGAAACGCCTTCATCTTGGCATCCTACAGAGGGAATTCATTTCAAAGGCGCAGGAAGTATATCAGACTCCCATCATCGCTTAAAATAAAGACTCCATAATTTCATAGATAACTTTTGATAACTGTTGACCAATACAAAGTACAGTAGTGTTAACTGCTTCATGACTGCTAAAATAATCAGAAATGTTCGCCAGCGTTTTGTTCTTCTGTTCTTCCTGTTCTGTCTATAATTATCTTCATCCTTTGCTCTAATTAAGCCACTGACAGTAAGAAATGTAACAAAACTGTCTCATGTTCAGAGATGTTTCTTAAAGTTTTTATTTGTCAATAAAAAAATGCGGCATACAAAACATTAAAAACTCTTTAATTGTACAAGAGAGCATTCAAACCCTACATGCTGAAAGCAGCTGTTCCTTTGTTTTGAAGTTAAGACCAAATGTGTTCCCTGGTTTTAGCTGAACTAGAAACTTAAAAGGGATTCAAGTCGCCGTTTCTTAAATAATGTCTGATGAGCCAACCATACAGGCACTTTCACAGATCTGAAACTGTTCAAATAAGTTGTCGTCATGCAAAAATAGCTATGGGCATTTCTGTGCAGGTGGTTGAACCCCACCTCCCCCTTTATTTTCAAGGCATGTGCCATGTATGGGTTGAGAACTGACTCAGCATTCAGCATTAATTGTGCAGTAATAAAAGTTTTTTTTTTTTCATGGGCAAAAGAATGTCAAAAGGAAGAAGGAGACTGGTCTTTAACCACAGTTCTTTTATCTATTGCAATGGGCTTATTTTGCTTAATAATTTATGATTAAAGCACATTTTCTACTACTACTACTGGAGTACTATTTAAAAACCAGACAAATCAGTACTAAAATATACTATATGGATGGACACACAATAAATCTGTCAGTGTTTGGAGTTGACAGTGGTCGACAGTTGTGTCCAACCTGGATGTATCAGGTTTTATTTTTAAAAAAGGAAAATATAATTATAATAATAATAATAATAATTAGACTCTCCATGTTTGAGTCCCCCAGTCTCCTCTGCAGTCCTTTAATGTTTGGCTTAAAACCTTTCCCATGTCTGTCCTCTGCTCACAGCAGCTGCTAGGCAATGGTTCATGCCTGCATGCATACATTTAATATTTATATCAAAACAAGTCCGTGAAAAAAAAGCATCAAGGAATACTTCAGCTGAAATTCAATATTTAACACAAGTAACAATATTTTCACTAGTTAACTGTTATATGATTAACAAAACTTCTACAGCAATGTCTTAAACTACTTTGTTAGTGAAAAAAATTAATGTGACTACAGTAACGTGTTATTAAGTAATGCATTGCCCCCAACATTGACTCTGACTACCATATTGTATTGAAGGGGGCAGAAGAAAAAAAAATCCCTACACAAGGATCAAAGTGTCACATCACAATAAACAAACCATGAGCTGTGCGTGTGCGGCACACAAAAAAAAATCAGCATATGGCATCACACTCTTGCAGACAGTGTTTAAATGACTGAAAGGAAAGAAAGTATAGTGGGATGTTGCGACTAACACTGCTCACAACCTGTCTAACCTGTTATTTGGCACTTAACAAAACAATATTGGCTGTTTACTGTAAAGCTGTATTAAAAAATCAGAAAATTCTGGCTTGGTAATTACTGTGTACTGTGTTTCACAATATTAACAGAAACCTGTGATATGACCATAGTGATCTGACAATAAGTAATTGACATATTGCCCAGACATGTTGATTGAATAGGTCCTTAAGGGGGATAGCCACAACATGTTAAAAAATGGCATAATGTAATTATAAAAATACAGAGAGGATGCTAAGATTTGGTTTGCTAAAAATATAAAAATAAATTATTTGGATTGTATAATGGTAAAAATGGATATTCTGCAAGTGTGCTTTTTTGTTTTATCTTTTTCAAAGGCCTTTCTCTACATGTGTGGGATTAAATTCAGATGCTCTGGCCAAAATGACAAGAAATTTGTTTTATAAATGAACTTTTTCACTATATTCTAGTCATGAAAGACCATACTGGGTTTCTTGTTTATTCCAATCAGATGTTAATACTGCATGGAAAGAAATGTGTACCATGCCAAGATACTTGAATCCAAACAGTAAAATTAGCAATGGCTGCCCAAGAATACATTCAGATCTACAAGTGAAATTATTTGCATAGAAAGTCTTTCATTAGCACTATATTTAAAGTAACAGGTCAGAGTTATTGGACTTTTCTAACTTTTTTAGGTATATGGCTCCAACTACCTACAATAGCAGTTAAACAAGGAATCCTCCTAAAGTAAAAAACAAAAGCAAAATATTGTAGGCTCAGAATAATCAGGAACATTGAGATTGCTCAGCCATGAACTTGAGATACGCTTATGAAATAAGTCTTCATCCAAACACTGAAAATTCCAGGTTGTATTTCTTAGATGATCTTAACTTTGTAAGTGGGACCACAGATTGCTCCGTGAGTGTCCATCACATACACAACTATAGCTATTAAATTGCATGGGGAATGAGCATCGTGGCTTCTACTTTCGGAGCATTCCCTCTCTGAAAAGGCTAGGCTAAAATAAGACTTAAAGTGTGTTACAACAGCAATTAAATGTTGTTAGTACATGGATCGAAAGACACATGGTGAACGAATAAATAACCCTGATGAAAATAAGGTCCCATTCAGTTGTGAGGTTGCAGATTGACTAGAAAACATTGGCACATGGTAGCTTGGACTTCTGGGGACTTCTTATGAAGTCAGACTAGACTCATGAAAGTTGTCTTTTGTTTCTTTAGAAACTAATTAGTGTACATCCATTGTCTTTTTGGTCTCAAAGTTGTAAAGCCTTAGCTCTAATGAGAAAACACTGCATTAATGATTAAAACATATTAAAACTTGTCTTCCCCTTCACCATTTACATCAGTTGGGCTCTTGAAAACTGCCCTACGACCTGTACAGCTCTTCTCTCCATCATGGTTTCAAATGAAGTTATTCCCTCCATTGCTGATGAGCTTCCCTTTCTTCTTGAGTCTCTTCAGCAGACAGGATGCGATGCCTAACGCACCACCCTTCAAAAAGCGAACAAAGTTGTCTCCCACCAGCGGGCCCATGGCAAACAGACCTGGCTCCTTGGTACACTCAAAAGTGTAGGGATGGATGTCAATGGGGTTCTGCTTGCAGGAGACAGGTTTTGTTGGATCCTGACCCAGGTACTGGCCCTGCCCTTTCAAGAAAAACAAGTTTGGGTTTGTCCCGATCAGGACTAGGGCCATTGAGATCTTGAATGCCTTGAGGGAGTTGTTCCCTTGCAGCAAACACTTCATGTCAGACTGGAAGGACACCACGCAGTGTTCGGAGAAACTGGTGTAGTCGGGAAACAGGCCGACACTGGCATTACCAACCATGTTACCTGTGGCAAGTTGGGGTTTTGGGCACATCTTGGCACATACTGAAGAGGCAATACTAACTGCCTGGGGTCTGTTTGAAGCAGAGGAGGGAGCCACGTTTGTATAGGTCTGAGAGCACATCATGTTGTAGACTTTGTGATACTCTGGGTACAGGGTCTTGGGCAGCTGTTTGAAGATGAGGTCTGGGTCATCTACGTTCTTACGAAAGACATGCAGCACTCTAATGTTGCTGTTACAAGCACACAGAACGGCATCTGCAGCGCTTAAACCGGCACCTACGATTAAAACCGGATCAGAGTTCATATCCAGTTTTCTCCGGCTTAAGGCCAAACCCAGGTCTGAGATGCTGTGAAATACAAACGGTAGGTCCTCCCCCTCTACACCTAATCGAACCGGTGAATCGGACGCACCAGTGGCCAGAACCACATTCTCAGCAAACAGAGAGAAGGGGACATGAGTGTCGTTCTGCACCTGCTGGTATCCCCTTACTTCCCAGAGAGCCCCCCCTCCTCCACTGTTTAGACACTCAACTCCATTCCCCTCAAACCCTCCATTACCACCATTTCCCACCTCTCCATCTCCTTGATCAGTGTGCCCATTTTCCAGACCTTCCCCCTTGTGCCCCCGGCAGAGTTTCTGAACAGAGGTCACATAGGTGTTGTCAACAAAATTCTTTTGGAGGCCCTTTAGCTTCACATAGTTACGATAATAGGATGAGATCTCTTCTGGGGTGGCTCTGTCACTGGTTACATCCCTAGAGATAAGAGAACGACAATGAGGAAAGGGATAACACAGAATTAAACTGAGGCTTTATCCATGTCTTTGCTGTCTTCTCTCTCAGTACCTGCGTTTCCCATTGGTCAAGTCTCTGTAGTTAACCCCGGGAAGCTCCATCCAGATGCCAAGACTAATAGTCAGCATGGAGCCTTCCATTGCCTGAGGAGATGATAGAAGGGTAGAGAAAAAGGCAATGTCAGAGAAGGACAAAAACAAAACAGCTGACTGGAAATATGGGTAGATACAAGGGTGTTGCAGACTAAATCTTGTAGCTTACATGCCAAGCACCTCCAGGTGTTGCCCTCCCCAGCACCAGATGTGGGATGTGTTGTTGCTTGTCTCTCCTCCACTGAAGGACAGGGGGGAACTCGTAGCCAAAGTCAGCATTAGGGTGCAGTAGTGTGTCAAAAAGCACAGCCACAGGGTTCCTTGACCTCCCCTCGAGACCTTCACTCAAATATTCCAAATCCTGCAAAAAAAAATAAAATAAGGTCTCTATCATGACACACTTGAGTGACTGTGATCATGAGCACATATGCATGTAATTTGTGTGTGTTTTTTTTTTACCTGTTCAGTGATGGGTAGGTGCTTGGTTTCCTGCAGCTTCCTGTAAAGTATCGGGTTTGGGTGAACAGCTGTTGTATCTAGGTAGGGCTTGTATCCACTCAGCAGGTAGGACAGACAAATACCTGATGGCCCGTTGCCTGAAAGCGGATCAAGGTTTGGGAAATGGCACATGACACATGATACGGAGTTAGATTGAAAAAGATGCTTTTAAGACTTAAAAATGTGTGCTAACCATAATACTAAGGGCAAAACGTTTACCTATGATGACCACAGGGACAGTGGGTGGGTGCTCTTGTGGCAGAGCGGTCTCTTCCAGAAGAGGCATGGCTACAGCCTGGGCCAGACCCGGCACTGAGGAGGAATGATAGAAATGTAAATAAAGTTCCAGACATTTCTGTAGCCATCCATTTGATATTCAACTAAAAGCAGAGGCCCATTTGTGCTTTGTCCCCCCCACTGCTTCCATTTTTCTGGGTCAGTTTATTTGAACAGGTTCAAACCGGCTTGCTTTGTCTTTGTGTCTGCCAATGTTGTTGTTGTCTCATGTTAGCTTAGATCCTGTCTCCGTCTACCATCAGCTGACTCAGAAACGCACACACTGAAAGAGGGAAAAAACTTTTATTCATCCTGTTATTGTGCTTCCACACACAGCCATGACCCTCCCTGTCTGTCTGGGGCGTCACACACGTGGAAACACCCCGCCACAACACAACGTGCCCCCAGCTTTTCTCTTTGCCGTCCCGCCAACGTCCACACACCCCCTATCCTATCAAACATGGCCCGCGGCGAGGCTAGCCTCTGTTAACCCCGGTGCCGCTTCCCAAACAAAAGGGTGTTCTAATCAGATTTATGTAGGCTTGGGTCTGTTGTGAAACGTTGCCGTTGAGCATGTGTAGTGTGTGTTTGTGTGTTACGCGACAGTGCCATTGTGTGCCCGCCGGGCAGCAAATCCCCCCTGATCACTCCTCCGAGTGGGCCCTAATCCCACTGGGCCTGTTTATGTCTTTACCGCCCCTTTCAAACAGCAGCAGGGTGAGAATGTGGTCCTGGCATGCTGACAGACTAAACCATCAGAACTCCTCCTCCTCTCATACCCGCTAGCCACCCACTGCCGCCACCGCCGCCACCACCACACATTCACAGACACTCCCGCCAAAACATTACCCACCGGCCACAGCAAACAGTGCCCACTTGCCCCAGTTTCATACTAACCAAAACACTGCCGCACCTTTGTCTTACATCCCAAAACTCCCATCTCTCCCTGCTGTCAATACAGTACGCCTCATTTAATGTGCCCCCCCCCCCCC